ACCCCTGAGCTATGGTAGATTATCTTTAGGGACACAAACATGTTTTTTTGGGGGGGGGATGTGAGTAGCAGAGGAAGTCCTTGTCAGTAGGCACTCCATCCTGCCAAGCAAAGTGTTTACTTATGAGAAGATTCACCAGCAGGGAGGTCTCCAGCTTGCACATGAAGCTGCCATATACTGAGTTGGACCGCTTGCCAGTCTGCCACTTTCAAGGCTGATTTATTTCAAGAATTTTTTATCCAGTTCTGCAGTAAGAAAAATAAAACCAAAAGCCATAGCGCAGCTTACAAATTGCTGCAAACAAGGCAGCTCCTGCCCTCAGGTTTGCATTCTATATGAAGACATGACACAAGAGGAAAAGGCATTGGGAGGGAGGAGGGAACAAGAAAAGTTGGGTACAGTGTCTTAGTCACAAGGTGGAAAGGTGGAAAGAGACAGAAGAGCCAAAAACTGCTGGTCTCTGAGCCGCAGCAGTGGAGTTGGCCCAGCCCCCCTCTGCTGAGAAATCTCAAGCAAAAGTCTTTGCATGCCCTTTAAAGTGGGGGTGCTGAGGTTTGCAGCTGAGTCCTCCTCCATGCAGGGCAGGTGCTCTTCCTGCTGAACCTGCTCTGCAGGGAGATGGGCCGCATTCCTTGGGGTGTCTAACTGGGAAGGAGTTTAGCTCACTGGCAGAGCTTCTGCTTTGCATGCAGAAGGTCTCAGGTTCAATTACCAACAGGTAGGGCAGGGAGAGAACCCACCTGAAGCCCTGGAGAAGTCAGTGTAAACAATGCTGAGCCAGCTGGACTAGCGGTCTGGCTGGGTCTTGGTTAGCCATGTTTCCTAGGTCTGGTCGAGACATAATATCTGGGGAAGTGAGACCCATTTTAAATGAAGAACTTTCAACACAAGAAAACTCAGGAAAGGAGCACTAACAGGTGACTCCACCCAAGATGTCGTGCAAACTGCACTTACTTATCTGGTGCAAACACATTCTACTAGCCAGGACTTTCTCACCGTGCTCAAGTCCTTAACCCTTACCTGGTGCTGTTCCTTGCATTTGACCTCAATGCAGGAATTTCAACTGATTCCAGATAATGCAGGGATAGACAGATGCGATGAGACACAAAAGCAAGACAAATGCCATATACTAAATCAGCAAGTGCAGTCCTGTTTAGTTTTACATGGTCTCTCCCCCCACCAATTTTCTTGTTCTCATTCCCTTCTTAACGAATTTAGAATACCCTTTTTCTGGCAGGGAGGGGATTGCATACAGAGAATGAAGTTCCTTAGACCAGAGCCGTAAGGTAATGAGATGCGTCATCCTTACGCAGGAGGGCACGTGCTGTCTTGGCAAAGGGGCTGTACTTTCAGGCAATGGGAGTTCACTGTTTCAATTCTCCCAGGTTGGATGAGAGGATTTCACCCCCCAAAAAAGTCAAATATGGTGGCGGGAGGAGGGATCTCCTCCACTCCCACCCGTGAAGAACAGAGCCAGCTAAACTGCTTTTTTTTACTGCTCTGGAGGCCCAAACATCCAGAGCGGCTTTGTTGGCCAGGCTTTTAAGAGAGCACCGTCACAACCTGAGTGAGGGGTTCCCTGTCCTGCAGGTCTTTTGGCTGAACCATTGTCAGCTAGGAGCTGCTCTAGCCAAAGCATTTGCACACACACTGCCGCCTCCTCCTCCTCCTCTGGCATGAAGGCCTTTTTCTGGTTTGGCGGACGGGAGCGCTGCCCATTTGGCTCTCATTTCTCCCTCAGATGGTTCCCGTTTTTTCCCTCTCCCTGCGTTTTGCTTTTTGTTTTTGTATGGAGAAGCCAAGCAGAGGCGGCGAGAGCAAGGGGTTGGAGGGGAGGGAAGAGGAAGAGTCCGCGAATGTGGGGTTGTTGCCTTTCCCCCCCCCCCTTTTCTCTTGGCAGCTTTGGAGCTAGCAATATGTTTCCTATTGATTAGCCACCCTTTTTAGCTTGGCCTTTTGAGGGCCAGTTGAAAGCCAAGAGCATGCATTTGGATGACGGATAGTATAAACGATGTCTCTCTTGCTCCAATTTCCAGGGCCTTGATAAACGGTAATAGTAACTCTCTTTCTGGGGATAAGAGCTGCTCTATCAAAAAGACCCTGAGTTATAGCCCCCCTTTAATATAGGTTGCGGCATGGCAGGAGGAGGTCAAAATAAAGCATTCGTACTTTAGACTTCAAAGCGTTTCCACCCTCAGCTGGGGGTGGAATGGCTTTCCAGATATACGCAGCACACGTCTTTAATTGCATGAGGCTGAAGATCCATTGCAAATAACGTATGTTGGATATTGCAGCCAGTGGACTTATACCAGGATCCAGCACTTTTCTGGGCCTCTGCCGTTTCCCATTAGGAATTTCCCCTGCCATTTCCCCTGTTGCGCCAGACACTCAGTGATAGAAATAAAAGCACATGTTGTCCCAGCTCCCGCACAGGCTTCCCGACTTCTGCTGCTTTGGGAGAAACAGCAACAGCACTCTATGCCGAGCGATCTAAAGCTCAGTAGCTGAGCTCGTGCTTAGGGGAAAAAAGGAGGCTGCCTTACCTTGAGTCAGCCCAGCCTGCCATCTTGCTCAGCATTGTCTATACCAGCCTTTCTCAACCTTGGGTCCCCAGCTGTTGTTGGACTACAACTCCCACCATCCCTTGTGAGAAGGGCCAGCCGTCAGGGATGATGGGAATTGTAGTCCAACAACAGCTGGGGACCCAAGGTTGGAAAGGCAGGTCCACCCTGGCAGAAGATCTCCCGGGTTTCAGGAAGGGGATATTCCCAGCCCGATCTGCAGATGCTCTGCCACGGAGCTACAGCCCTTCTCACGGAAGAGGTTCCAGGTTCAGCTCCCAACATCTCCATCTGAAAGAAACTTGGGCTGCAAGGCTGGGAAGGAGAGGTCTCTGCCTAAGAACGTGGAGCAGCCTTTGTCAACTTGCTGCCCTCCAGATGTTGTCTGACTCCAACTCCCATCATCCCTGGGGGCACCCTATTGGAGAAGGCTGCCCTGGAGAGCCACTTCCAATATGTTCTGGGCTAAGTGGAGCAGTGGTCTGACGTAGACTCCTCCAGACAACCCGTTCATTAAACCTTCATCCTAATTTGCTTGCACAAAGCTTACACAGAATTTAGGCGCCATCCAGTCTTCATTGAGCTTTTCTTATTATTTATTTACAAAGCTGTCATAAAACAAAAGAGTGGTCCACCCCAATCGGCATGCAGGATGTTTAAAGTGGATTTGTTGCACTAGGGGCAACAGAATGCTTCTTAATTGGTTTTAATTGCAAACCTAAAGTCCCAATATGTCGGTGTGATTGAATCCCTCCCACAAAGTATTGACAGTCTGGAGACACCCATAGTGCAGTGCATTGTTTCTCAAACTTGGGTCCCCAGCTGTTGTTGGACTACAACTCCCATCACCCCTGACCCCGGGTCCTGCTAGCTAGGGATGAAACATCCGGTCAGTGGTTGTGGGGCCCTTGCTGCCCCTGCACATGGCACTCCCCCCTCACTCTCACCTGCCTGGCAATCTCAGGATTCACCCCACTGCATGTGGAGCTCTTCGTGGACAATAAAGTGCTGTAGAAATGCCAAGAGTTGTCTCCAACTAAGTTCTACTCAGAGCAGACCTAGTATAATTAATGGACCCAAGTTATTCATGTTCATTCATTTCAATGTTACTGAGTAGGAACAACATGGGCTGCAACCCTAAATATTTTGCTTGGATTACAGAAGGTGGAGACAACAGGTTTGCTAAATTAAAAAGAAAACTATTCAAAATAAGTGTTAAATAAATGCCAACTGTTTCTTTGAAGAACAGCGGTGGCCCCGCACTCACCCTATTCATGGGGCCATAGCCGAGCTTTTGTACAAATCCTTTTTTGGCGTATTGCTTCCCCATTTTGTCAAGGTACCTCCACCTTGCTAGCTGTGGGGCAGCCGCCTTCCCTTTGTTGCAAAGGCCCTCCAAAGGGCTGCGATTCCTGCACCCGGGTTCCGTGCGTAGCCTTGGCTGTCCCTGTGGGAGAGACAAAGAGAGTGCAGTGAGGGGAGAGTTGAAGTCTGGGAGGAGCACAGAGAATTACCAAAGAAAATATGCACAAGCCGTTGAAGAGCCAGAGGCCCCTGCGCTGCTGTCTGCCTCCAAGCCTCACCCTTTGATGCTGACGTGTCTCCCATCTGCTTCATGCCATCCTTTGAAGGTGCAGATAAAAACCATGTTTCACATCTTAAATCATGAAAGCCAGAAAGTGGGGGGGGGGGGTGACATGGATGCAATTTAGTCTCCTGGTTCTCAAATGTATGAGGTAGGCTTTCCAGGGAGAAGCGTGAGGAGCTATTCCTATATAACACACAGGCATTTCAGGACAGTAACCCCATTGCGTTGCATCTCTCTTCCCAGCAGAGCACATAGCCCCCTCAAGGGTGCAGCATCCAACATGGTGAGGCTTGGCTGGGAGAATTTTTCATGCCCATTCCTTCCATTGTCTGTCCGGACGTTGGTGTCGCATCAAAGCATTGGGGGGGGAGTGTTTCACATAGACCTCCCTCTTGGCTCTTTCCAGGGTCAAAGCCCTGGCACTCTGAGGGCCCACGCGGAGGCCCTAGGCTGCCCCCCTCAAAAAAGTCCTTGGTTGAACAGGTCATTTTCAGTCCCTCAGTATCCATCTCACCTCTGGCGTAACTCCAAACAGTCCCTATCTGCATTACTAGCAGTTTGAGCAAGTAAAAGCAGACTTTAGAGTCACACAAGTCCCTTTGTACGAGTTTTCACAGGGACAGTGGATGCTGCTCCTTTTTTATTGGGCTTTTGCTTTTCTCAAGGGACCTGCCTCCCTAGACATAAAGTGCTGTGAAGGTCTTGGCAATCCTCATCTCTCCATTGGTCTCAGATATTAGTTGTGCTTGGAAGGACCTTAAGTGCATTTGTTTGTTGGCTTGTGGGCCTCTCAGTAAAGTTGTTTTTACATAACTAAAGGCAAACAGATAATTTGTTCATTCATTCCTTTTGGGGACGGCCATAGCTCAGTAGTAAAGCACCTGTTTTGCATGCAGAAGGTCCCAGTTTCAATCCCTGGCATCTCCAGGTAGGTCTGGGAGGGACCCTGGCCTGAAACTCTCTAGGCCAGGTAGGCTAGGGTGGGCCAAATGCAGCTCCTCAGGCTTCTCTCTGGCCCTGCATCCTCTCCCCAAGCCGGTCCCCTTCTCCCCAGGCCATGCCTCACACTGCTCTGCTCTTCACCCTCCTTGCAATCTTTTTGCCTAGCTGGGGTGTGTTCTTCTGTGCCTTTTGCTTGCCTGGAGAGAGGATGGAGAGGTTCCACGGCTGGAATGTAGCCTACTGCACAAAGGGAAAAGTCACATCCATTGCTCTGCCCATGTCTGCCATTGGCATATGCCCCCCACCCCGGCGAGGACAAGGGAATGTGGCCATCGAGTCGAAAAAGGTCCCCACACACCCCAGTGTAGGCAAGAGTGAGCTAGATAGCACAATGTTCTGACTTGGAAAAAAGCAACTTTGTTTATTTATTTTTAACTCAACGGTTTATAGTCCCTGCTTAAATGCAAACATCCATCAGGGTGGGCTAGCAGTAACAGCAGAGACAAATAAATCCAGAATAAAACAAATAAAGGCAACAGATTTAAAAGCAGAGCAGCAGATAGAATCAGCTTTGGGTAACGTTTAATCAGGCTTATTCTTAAACAGTTGTGTACTGTGTATGTAGGAGGAGTACATTCCTGACAGTAGAAGCATGTTCAGCCCAGCCATGCTGTCTTGAGGTCCTTGCCTCTGTGGTGGGCCGAGGCCTGATGAAGCAGCCCTTGTAGAGGGAACAGGAAGCTGCTGACCTCCAGACGTTGTTGGACTCGCAGCTCCTAGCGTCCCTGACTTGGCTGTGCTGGCTGGCAGGGCTGGAGGGAGCTGGAGCCCAAGAGCTGGGTCCCATGTCCTCTGCCCCCCTACACAGTGCTTGGAAGGAACAGGTTCAGTTTAATGAAGTTCACTGAATTAGTTCAAAAACATCCAAGCTGCACCCGAGAGTAGTTTCCATAATCGCCAGGCAAACTGAATGTGAATTAAGTTTGGTTTGAGGTAGAACTTTGAACAGTTTCTCATTTGCCTTCATTCTCTAAAATGTGCTTTTTGGTCTTTAGCGTCTTTGGGCCTTTAATGCTGAGAATCGTAATTGTTGGAGAAAATAAATTAAACTTCCACTCTGTGTGTGTGCTTTGATGTACTCTGAGCCTTCTTAAGTACATTGTATACTTCAGCACAGTAGCTTTTAACATTCTGAATGCTGGGGGGGGGGGGGGGGAGAGAATAATTTGCATGAACTTGAACTGAACTGTGAACTGAACAAGTTAGTTGTGCAACTAGTTTGGGTTTGTTTGTCTTTTTGTAAATTGCTTTGAGAGCCCCTTTGGCTTAAATAGGGGCAAGGTATAAATGACTCAAATAAATAAATAAAGTTTCTGATGAGGGTACACCAGAGATTGGTTGCCACCATAAGATAAGACCCTTTCCTCCCTGCTCTTCCTCCGCAAGGTGTCCTTCGGATTGAAGCATACGAGAGTTGCTTATTGTTGTTATTCTCCCCACCCCCACTGAGCTTTTCGTAACTCAAAACTCTTCAGATCATCCCACAAAGGTTTTACAAGATTAGTTAGATTGAGAGAGAATAATTAGCCGCAGTTTATGTGTACTTGTGTGAAACTTGATTTCTTTGAATTGTGATTGATAGCTGCATATATGCTGAGGTCCCACTGCAAAGCACTCGGTTTCAAGCCATGCAGGATAGCAATACGAACGGCTCTCTCTTTGCTGCTACATTTGCAGTGGGCCATCTGCACCTGGAAGTTGTTGCTTGATTTTGCAGCGATCACTTGACCAGTGTGTGTGTGTGTGTGTGTGTGTGTGAGAGAGAGAGAGAGAGAGAGAGAGAGAGAGCCTGATTGTCCGCACAAGGTCACTCAATGAGCATCATGGCTGAGTGGGGATTTGCATATGGATGTCCTGCAGCCAAACCCAGTGTTTTGTCTACTTGGGGTTCCTTTCTGACTGCTGATTGGCTGTCCCTTTGTTTTCTCTTGCAGAGAAACCAGTGCATTTCACCTCCCTCCCGGAGGGGCCAAAGCTGGTTGGAGAGCCCTCCATCACAACCTGCTGGCCTCCGGTGCTTCCCTACCAAGGTTCAAGGGATCTGATCCGAACCTCTCCACACACTGAGCCTCACGTGTTTCAGTATAATCCTCCAGGTGAGAGAGGTTCAATCAGGTTTGCGTTGCGTTGTTGTTAAATTTGTATACTATCATGTACTGGCTGGATGCAGAGGAATGGTGGGAGGCAGCAGCTAGAGAACCCCCAAGGAAGGAAGGCTCAGAGCCTGGGGATCAGTGGGCAGTGAGTGGTCCCAGGGAGAAGAGGGAGAAGACTGTGGCAGGGGGGGCGGGAGAGAGGTGTTGGAAGCTTAGGGAGCTGGGAGGGTCTGTGGCAGAGAGTAGCCAAGAATCAGAAGCAGAAGCTGAAACAGGACAGTGGGATGAGGGAGTCAGGCTGGTGAAGATGCACGGGTTTCTTCCCCTCCTGCTGCAGCGGAGAGGCATGAAGCAGGAGGAGCAAAGGCAGACATGCAGGCACAGTCTCAGATTGCTTGGGAAAACCCTGGAGATGAGGAAACTTAGGCAGCTGTGGGAAGGCAGCGACCTTCAGTCTCCACAAGTGCTTCATAGGGGCAAGACCTACCAGAGAAGAATTGCTGTGTTCATTAGGCCTGACAGCTCTGAGCACATCCTGATTTCTTCTAACAGAGAGTTAACTTCACTTACTCTGAGTGATTTATTGCTGGCTCGCTCCTGACATGTACTGCCCTTCATCCATAGATCTCAGGGCAGTTCACACCATAAAAACACAAGATAAAAAAGACATAATAAAAACAAGAATAAAAACCAGTAACCTCCTCTCACAGAACATTTAAAAGGGTATTGGGTTATTGCTGTGATCCAAGGATCACAGGACACTTTATAAAAACACAAACATTTATAACATAACAACAAACAAAATAATAACACCACCACCACCACCACACACACATGCAGTTTAAAAGTCATAGATTATTTAGTTAGCCAAAGGCCTGGGAGAAGAGGAATGTTTTTTGCCTGACACCTAAAGGTATATAATGAAGGTACCAAGCGAGCCTCCCTGGGGAGAGCATTCCACAAGTGGTGAGCCACCACAGAAAAAGCTTGTTCTCGTGTTGTCATCCTCCAGACCTCTTGCAGAGGAGGCACACAAAGAAGAGCCTCAGATATTGATTGCAGGGTCCAGGTTGGTTCATATGGGGAGAGGGGTCCTTGAGTCCTTGCACTCTGAAGTGGGCTTGCTTTGCTGGTGTGAACAACCTGATGCAGGTAGCAGTTGCCACCATGAGCCCCCTTGGAAAGCAGTTTTCATAATCTGTTGCTTATGAGCTTTCCATGAGAGACATTCTGTCCCACCGTTCTTGGAAACTCTGTGCTCGTAGGCACGAGGCCCCATGGCGGCAGCACTAGGAACTTGGGAAGCTGCCTTGTACCAGGTCAGACCATTAATCTGTCTAGTACAGTATTGTCTACAATGACTCTCACTGCAGTTGCCCCATATGGGGATCAAACCTGCAACCTTGGCGTTATCAGCACCACACTCTAACCAGCTGAGCTAGTCTTATCACACATACAGACACCTCCCCCTCCTCACAACTGGAAGCTTGAGACAACAAGTGAAGCAGTCTTTCTTTAAAAATAAAATTCGAAATTATAAATGCCTCTTGCTTTTTTCCTTGCTTTTTTATTTATTTATTTTTGTATGCAGGTCACTCAATCTCCTTAAACATGCATGAAGGTTCTCGGCCGGGCTTCCAGAGATTGTCCGCCATCTCCAACCCTCCCCCTCTCATCTCTACCAAGCACCCTTCTGTTCTTGAAAGGCCCCTTGGCTCTATTTCCCAGGTAAAGGCTCAGGTGTCAGGGCATGTGGAAGACATTCCTTTTGCTAGGCAGGTCCTTTCATGGCAGCTCTGATCTTTATAGATTCTCCCAGACAAAGAGTATCAGCAGGGGAGGGGTAGTGTTGTAAGAGACTAAGTGTCATCTGTGTACGTACAGCACCTTGCAGAACTTCATAGGCAAAAATTAGACAGGTCCCTGCCCCCAAGCAGCTTCCAGTCTGAAACAGACAGTGAGGAAAGCAACAGGGATGGGAAGGAGGGAGAGACCAAGGGAGGCTAGCACGAATCTGGACAGACATTGTTGCCATGTATTTACATCCTTGGTTGCATTTAGGAATATGGATTAAAAGTATAAGCGGGGGCAGGGGAGGTTTCCCCCCACATTGTGCTTCCCAGACCAACAGTTGTCCATGAGGTTCCTTTAGGAGGTCTGCAGTGTGTCTGTCAATTTGTGACTGAAAACAAGAAGCAGCGCATTCATTGCATTAAACATTCTCATTGATCTTTAATTGTGTGTTTTCTACTTCTTTTATTGTTTAGATTGCATTTTATTGTACTGCAATTTGAATCCTGCAGAATGCAATAACATTTCCCGCTTTTCCCAGGCAGAGGTCTGTGCTTTTAATGCTCCATGTCCAAGCGTTTTTATTCTGTTTGGGGTTTTTTGCACCAAGGGTTCCCCACAAAAACCCATTCTTTAAAGCTGAATTGGAACAAACATCAATTTGGGTTTTCCATGGTTGTTTGCTCCAAATGAGCTTTAAAGAGCAAGTTTTAATGGGAAAAACTCCAGAGCAAAAAAAGGCTCATTGACCTGTAGCTTTGTATTGTGGACAGTGCCTGCAAAGAGTGGAGGAAAGGTAAGTGTGAATAAGCCCTAAATGGTCCACCGAAACCCATAATCAGTTTTCAGGTGACTGTGGGAAAATGCTTGTGCAAACAGTAGTATAAACTAAAGGCTGCCTGGACTGTTTCATGTGTTGGCTTTATCCAGCTTTATCCTTGCCCTCAATCCTTGTTCCATCAGTCCTCCATTGCCTCTATGCAGAACCTAGCACCCTCTTTCCATGAATGAAATATCAAACTGCAGCAGTAATGACTT